CTGACCCAGCAGGTTCCCACCTGCCTGTCCCACACAGCAAAACCCCGGCAGCTCCAGCGCAGGGGCAGGAGCTGCCCAAGTGCTGCTGCTGGCACCGCCTGCATCCCCTTCCTGCGCTCCTCTCACCGTGCAATAGGTGACTGCTGCCAGGGATCACATCTCAGCAGTGCTGTTCACACAGGGGCTGGTGCGAATCCTGCTGATGCTGTGCAAACCCCATCTCTAAGAGCCGTGCAGCACAGCCGGGGTGCCACAGCCGCTGGGGTGAGGGCGCTGCCCTGGCAATGCTGTGGCTGCCAAACGCTGGAGCCGCCGATCACTTGGGAAGGGGTGAAGCCCTGCGGGAGCCAGGAGCTCGAAACCTGCTGGTCACACAAACTGCCAGGCTCACACGGGGGCTCACCCCGGCACAATGGGGCTCACCAGGCGATAGCCATTGCCGCAGGGAGCATCCTCAGTGTGCACAAGCAGGGATGTGCCTGTGTGTCCCCTGCACCGGGGGCTCATGCCCACACTTGTTCTATACCCCCATTTACCTGCAGTGCTCCCTGACCACTCCAGCTCCTGCCCGCTCCCTGCTACCCACCAGGAAGGTCAAAGCCCCAGCTTCCCATGGGCTTGGAGCCTCCTCTGCCCCACTGCCCCACCCCGGGCAGCCCAGCACCAGGAAGACTCAGCTCCTTCCACACAGACACTTGGTCCCCCCCCTGTACCGAGGCACTGACCCAGCAATCCCCAACACCAGCACTTCCCCAAGCTTCCCTGTGCCCAGCCCACGTCTGCCCGGTGTGCCTGCTTGCCAATACCAGCATCACCAAAGGGACTAAAGCCCATCCTGGAGGGCTGCGGTGCTCTTGGTGCCCACGCTGCTCACCACTGAAGGCCGTTGTTACACAGACACAAGCCGTGGGAACAGGGCAGCATCGCTACTGCTTCCCACAGAGCCACCGTGCTCACGCTGGGGTTGATGCCAGCAGCACCCTGCTTCTGAGGTCCCTCTGGAATGAGGGACGTGATGCACCCGCCACGCATGGGAGTCCTGTCTGGGACCAGCGACAGGTCGTGCTCATGGGGAGGGCAGCCGGGAGCTGAGGCACCACCGCATTGCTGCAGGTCCCTGGAGGAGCCCAGGGTGATCGGCCCCAGCACCCAGCATCCCACCCAGCCCTGGCTCCAGCCTCCGGAACCAGTCTGGTCCTGGGGCAGCGCAGGGAAATCTGGTTTCAAACGCACTTTCCCATTTGGGTGCTGGGCCCTCAGCTGGGGGCAGGCGGGGGCCGGGGCCGGGAGCTGGCGCGGGCATCCTGCGCCTTTCCTTCTCATTAGCCTTTCTTCGTTAAACCATACCCTGCACCCACTGCCTGTAATGCTTTAAAGAATGATAGATACTAAATCTAATTTAATCTACTCATTCACCCATCACTACAGTACTAAAATAGGAATATACCTATAAAAAGAGCATCGCCAGGCAGTGTAGGCCCAAATTACAGCTATTGTGGGAAAAGCAGCTTTGCAAAGCTAAAATTAATGTCAGTGTTTTCAATATATTGAAGAACAAGGAAAGCAGGTTTTTTGCAGCTTTCGAGCCCGTCCTGTGCTATGGAAGGCGGCTGCTGTGGTGCGGGAGAGCAGCCAGAGCCAGGAGCTGCTGTGCCGGGGCTCACATCCACGCGATGCACAAACCAGGGGAGAAACCAGGTTTGAAACGAACCCGCTGCTGCAACGCGCGACAATACAGCTCAGAATAGACGTGCTCCCTAAAAATATAATATGCTAAACTTGGCAGCAGCCCTTTTGCAAAGGAATTTTCCAAGCAGCTTTTTGCAGAAGCTGTTTCCCGGTGGGTCGGGTGCTGCTCAGCCGAGCCTTGGGTGCTGTGGGCTGGGCAGCGCGGTGCAACTGCAGGCACCAGGGATGCACCAGAGATGCTCCTGGTGAGCGGGGCCGGGGGGGGAGCTCAGCCCGCCTAAGCATCAGCCAGGTCCTGCACCCAGGTCTTCACACAACACTGCCTGCACCAGGGTCTGTGCCTCACTCAACGCTGATGCTGAGCCTCAGAGCATGGGTCTGTTTTGGGTCAGCACCATGCCTCGTCCTGGAGCAATTAGCTGCTTGCTTGTAATTACAGCAGAGAGACTTTTTAAGCAGCAACTGATTCCTCTGTTAATGAAATGGAGCAACCAATGGCTCGCTCTGCACCCAGGTCCTCACTGAGCAAGAGCTAAACGTTACTGCCAAACCCCACCAAAGGATACGGCATTCCTGCCTGTCCCACTGGAGTGGGCTGCTCGGTCATGGTCATGCGCCCACCCTGCAGCTCCCTGCTGGAGCCCTGGTGCTGGAGGTTGGCAGGGCCAGGGGATCCCTGCAGGCAGCGTGGCTGCACCATGCCGGGTGCTGTGAACCACAGCTGCTGCGGGTAGTGCTGGTTGAGCCGACGGAGCTGCAAGGTGCCCGCATCCGCCTGCATGAGCCCTTTGCACTGCCAGAGCCCGCTGGCAGCCGGATCTTCCCTGGCGCTGAGCTCATCAAAGTCCAAGGCAACTTCATCTCTTGGTCATTCCTCCAAATACCAGCCCTGTGAGAATGCTGGAGCCAGGGAGCTACGAAACACAAGTGACCTCTTAGGGATCAAATACAGCAAATACCAACAAGCTGCCTGCAGGAAGAGGAGGTGTCCAAAGGGGTAAGGTCAGTTACTGCACTTGGGGGCGGACCCTATCACCCCCAGCTCACGTCCCCCAGGCCAGCACAGCCAGACACACACCCTGGCGCAGGAGAAGCCAGTGGCCACCCAGGCCTTTGGCACCATCCCCATACATCCCCAGGTGTGATGCGCACACATCTGCCTCCCTACGTACACACACACGCTGGACAGGGAACCGCAACCCACAGGGTCCAAACCGAGCCCGCCGAAGGCGCCAAGTCACGATGCCTCCGAGTTGAGCTGGCTGGGCAGAGGCAAACTCTGTGGCGGGCATGGGCTCCCTGTGCACTCCTGTAGTGCAGGCGTGCTGAAGGTGTGCGCATCCCAACTCCAGAGCAAATTTGGGGCTAAAGCATCAGGGAGCAGGAGGCTCCTTGCACAGCTGGGCAGGATGAGAAGCCCTAAGCCCCTTCCCCATGTGACAGCATCAGTGACATCCCTCTGCCTGACACCTCGTTGTGACATGCACCAGGAACTCCCCATCCCCAAGCACCGGGCGAGGAACCTCAGCAAATGCCGAGTCCCGGGGATGAGGACGGAGATTTTGGCCTCCATCACGGTCATTAGCTGGGTGAAAATCCAACTCCAAGTCTCTTCCTAAAACCCTCCTTCCTGGCTCATGAGTCCAGACCCGCTGCCAAGGAGCAGGAGGCTTCTGGGAGAGTGGGGAGGAAGAGACGCTAAACACGATGGTCGAATTAAAACAAACAGGGCGATGGGGGACCAGGAGCTGCTGGCTGCAGTTTGCTGCGCGGTGGGGAACAGCTTCTCCTTCACAGGGACCCCGAGCTCCCCCGTGCACAGCGCAGCCCCTTCCGCTGCCCTCACCACTGCTGCCCTGCAACCGGCAGCCGCAGCCCCAGGAGCCAGCAGGGAGCTGGAGGCGCTGCAGGGCACACGGCACATGCCAGCCCCTCGCTGGAGGGACAGGAGATCCCACCCAGAGAGAGAAACCTCCCGTGCAGGCAGCAGAGGCTGCAGCCCCACGTCAGCGGCAGGTTCAAAGCACCGTGCATGCCCCTCAGAGGAATGGACCCCCCCAGGGACAGGTCAGGGCTCGGGGCTGGTGCCCAGTGTCTGATGTGCCTCGTGGCTGCAGGGACCTCAGCACTGGCTGACAGAGCCGAGACTGAAATCCAGACCAGCCCCAGCTCTCCCCAGCCTCTGCCTGCAGGAGGGTGCAATAAATCACGCACCCATCTTGGCCGGCCTCTGCAGCAGCCCCTGCATGAGCCCTGGCCCCGCACGCAGCCCATGGCTGCTGCTGCACTTGTACAGCCAGCAGCGGCTTTGCCAGCCCCCTCTCCAGATGGAGCAGCCCTGGGCCTCACTGCTCCCACAGACAGCACAGCCACGCTCCGGCCACCGCATTCCACTTGGACACAGGGTACAGACATCCCGAGGGACCAAAAGGCTCCCTGCCCATCCCCGCTGGGGCCGAGGGTTTGCACCAGTGCCTGGTCCTCCCTGCCGGGGAAGCCGTACAGGCCACAGCGAGCGCGGTGAGGATGCCATGAATTTTTAAACTCCTGAAAGCACAAATGGAGCAGTTCTCCTGGCTGGAGATGGGATTTCCGATGCAGCAGAGCGGCTGGAGGAGGAAACGCTGCTTCTCCCGAGCTGTGCTTCCCCCGGGACAACACGCCCGGAATCCCAGTGCACTGGGTGCAGCGCGGGAGCCAGGGCAGCCCATGGGACAGAACGCTCTGGCCAGGAGTTAAGCACCAAACCCATGGCCTGGGCACCCTCTGGCCAGGCTGCCCAGACCTGGAGCTCACCCAGACCCACCGTCCCTCCGGTGCCTCCGCAGCATCTCCCTGTCCACAGCGAGACAAACCCACACACGCTTGACCCTGCAGCCTGGCTGCAGACACATGTAACATGACAGCACACACAGATGCGCACACGCGTGTGCATGCACAAGCTCATCGCCTTCCCTTCTCCCCAGAGGCTGCTCACGCCACGCAGGAGCCTCATTCCTCTCATTCCTTTACCAGAGCATCCATCATCACCGGCAGCTCTGCCTGCCGCACTGCCCGTGCCTAAGCCCGCTCCCAGTCCCGGTCACGCTTCCAACTGCCATGGAGGGGAAATCAGAGGAACCCCAAAGGAACCACAGCCGGGGGCTGTGAGCTGCCACCGCTGCCAGACGGGCCGGTGCCGCGGGGCCGGGGCCGGAGAGGCCCCGCGCCCGGGGAGGAAGCAGTTAAGCTCTGACCCTCCGCTGAGGAGGAACCGGCCAGAAACACGTGTGAAGCGAAAGCAAAAAAATCCCCCGCAGAGGGCGACTTACCTGTTGGAGGTAGAGGAAGGCTGGAGGACAGGGGAGAGAGTGAGGAAGCATGCCTGAGTTGGAGACAAGGAGGCAGCCCGAGTTAGCCATGGAGCACAGCATGTGTCGACAGGTAGCCGTGAAGCTGCTCGCGGGTCCGTCCTCTTCCGCACAGCGCTATATCCTCGTCTTCCCGGCCGGCCCCTCGGGCTCTCCCCTCCTCGCCGTCCCTCCCGACCCCTCGGCGCTAGTTAGGAGGGTTCATCTGCGGCAGGCCGCTGCGCCCGCAGCCGCGCTCCGCGGTTCACTTCGGTGCCATTAGACACTGGCACTGAGCGCACGGTCTGCAAAGGGTGTGCGTGAGCCAGAGCGGGAGCGGGAGAGAGAAAGGAAGGGGAGGAGGAAGGGAAAGAGGGCTCGGGAGCGAAATAAAAGGGGTGGGAGTTGGAGGAGGAGGGGGAGTCCCCTGTGCATTCAGACATCAAACAGAGCTCTGTATAAAATGAAGAGAATCCGTAATGACATGAGAACAGCTGATCCCGCACTTAACCCCTCCGCCGCCGCTTGCAGACGCTTCCCACCGCCCCGGCCGCACGCCGCCGCGCTGCGGGAGCACAGGCAGGATGGGGCCGGCGGCGGAACCGCCTCCCATCGCGGCGCTGGCTCCCGGGGGAAGAAGGGGCTTACCGGGAGTTTCGGTGATGCACCGCGGGCGCCCCGGGAAGCCGTGCGGAGCAGCCGGCGCTCCCAGCCCCCGCGATGGCAGCGCCGCAGCCGCGGGGCTCCCCATGCACACGCAGCCGGACACATGCACACGCACCACGCTCTCCCTGGGACACACACACGCAGACGGGGCCGGCGGCGGGCAGGGAGCCATGCAGCAGCCCCAGCCCCCGCCCCGCCTCCCTGCGAGGCACAGACCCGCTCACGCCTGCAGCACGCATGGCCCCGGCAGCCGCCGGCCTTCGCGGTGGGAGCCGCCGCAGCCTCGGCGCTGCCAAGCGCAGGGCCTGCTCCGGGCAGGCTGCGAGCCCCGCTGGCGCGGGGAGCTGCGGGAGCACCGGCATCCCCGCGCGCCCTGCAGCCGTGAGGACCCCCTGCCCCGTGCTGGCAGCGGGCGGGGGCGGCCCTGGCGGAGCTCAAGAGGCTTTTTGGCATTTCAGACTGGCCTGCGGTACTGCCGGCAGCCCTGACGCATCAACGCCGCGCACACCTCTGGTACAGCTGCCGTAGCAGCAGCCTACATGCCAGTGCCCGTGAGGGACAGCCGGCACGGGCACACGCTTGTGCTCGTTGGGGTCCCTGGTCCCACCTCGTGCAGCACTGGCACCCTGAGGTGCTGCAGAGCTCAGTTCTGTCACAGGGGTTCCTGTGCTGGCGTCCCACACTGCCGGCACCGCATCACACCTGACTTCAGAGCCGGGACGGCATTGTGTCTGGCTATGTGGGAAATGAAACGTGGGCTTGGTTCAGTTTCCATCTTGGCCAAATGTGATGCACAAAGGCAGGTCTGTGCCAGCAGCTGCTGATGCTCCGTCTCCGCTGGAGCCTCCAGCACACAACCAGCCTTGATCGGAGGCTGGGATTTTCCACAGTATCCCCAGGCAGAGCGACACGCTGCAGTGTCCTGGTACACTCGCAGCGGTTCCTGCTCTGCTGCAGACACTCCACAGCAGTGGCGTGGCCGGCAGGAGCGACCGGGCAAACCTGGTGAAACAAACAGCTCTGGGAAAAGCTGCCCCGAGAACGGTGTCTGGGTCCTGAGGGTGCCAGCCCCCTGCAGGGTCCTGCTCCTGGGGTGACCATGCTCCAAAGGGACCATGGGGTGCCAGATCAGGCAAGGGACATGGGGTCTCATCACCACCACCCCGTGGTACTGAGAGGAGCCTGGCAGCAACATCTGCTACCAGCAGCATCCTCTGGCCACCACTCCATGTGAGGAGCATGCGCTGCAGTGAGCTCCCATGTCCCACCGTCACTGCTCGCCCTCCACTGCCCATGGCACCACCACAGATCCCAGTAGAGCATCCTGTCCTACACACCTCGGTGCCTAGAGCCAACACTGCCCACTTGCCTCCAGCTCCCCTTCCCTAGGGACTCTGGCAGCCCCAGTACCATGCAATCCGGCATGCCCTGGTGCATGGGCAGGACGTAGGGCTGGAGGACAAACACTGTGGGGAGAGGAGCCCACCAGACCCCATGTACACCTGAGCACCCCACAGCACTGCACAGTGAGAGACACCCTGGGCAAGGTGATGGGCAGCTTCCGAGGCCCTTGGGCTGGTCGGGCTCCATGGCAGCTCCTGCGCTGCTCAGGCAGAGGTGACCAGGGAAGGGCATGGCCCAATGCTCCGGGCTGCGGTGCCCAACCAAGCAAACCATGGGAGGTGGGAGCCAGCTCTGGGATGAGGTAATGTGCCTGTCCTCCGCACCAGAGCCTGGCTCCGGGCAGGGTGAGTGACTCAAAGGCGTTCCTGGCCAGTGGCAGTGCCACAAGCCAGCAGCCGTGTCATGGGAAGGTCCTGACTGGCTCCAGCTGCAGGGCAAGGAGAGACGCTGCTCTCCTGCAAGGAGAGTGCATGGAGTGATATGCTGGGCAGAGACCCCAGCCCCGCTGGTGCAGACCCTCAGCACCACCAGCATCAGCAGGAACCAGCCATGTTTCTCCAGGATAAATGCAATGGGGAAACCGGACACGGATCAAGGAGCCAAGGAGCATTTGAGTCTCCTCTCCCCCTCCTTCAGCCATCGCCAGCATCAGCCTGGCTGCAGAGATGCCCTCACAGCAGCGGGGAGCCCCCGTGGGACACCAGCACAGCAGTGCCAGCCCAAAGCAGGGAACATGTCACCAACCACCACCAGTGGATGTCCCTCACCTGCTGCTCCCACCTGCCTCGGCAGTGCCACTGCCGCAGCCAGGCCGATGGCACCAGCAGTGCACCAGGGCTGTGCCCAGCCCTGCGGAGACGCAGCCCCAGAGGGGCCCCTCCAAACCTGAAGTCTCCTGGAATGAAAGTTTATTTATCTGTTTAATTAAGATGTGTTCACCAGGCGCACAGACCCCGTTCCATCTGTCTCACTTACAGCCGCGTCCCAGTAAAATTAAACCTAATAAATATCAGAGGAGGGAAAGCAAAGGGCACATGTAAGATATATGATCAAAGGCAGAAGTTGCACAGGGCTGCAGTTCTAAGCACATCTTTCTCTCTGCCCTTCGGGGATGGGTTGGCGATGCGCTCCCGTGCACAGGATGGGGCTGGCTTTCCTTCAAATCAGCACTTTTCCCTTTTTTTTTTATTTATTTCCAATGAACCCTTGAGGACTCCTTGGTTTTTGTTTTCTGGAAGAGGGAGAACAGCATGGCACCAGGACAGGAGTGGCCTTGGCCACTGGTCTAGAGCCCAGCAAGGTGCCAGAGCCAAGTGGCAGAGCCTGTGCTGGGACAGCTGAAGGGCACGTGCCCCTGAACCATGAGGGAGCCCACCAGGAAGAGCTCTCAGACCACAGGGATGCTCCAGTGCAGGTGGCTGGGAGCCGGCCTGGAGGCAGAGCTGCTGGAGGTGCCCAAGGCTGGGGGATGTCAGAGCTGCCGGTACCCAGCTCCCCTCAGAGGAGGAGGTGGAACACTCGCCTCTGCCATCCAGAAACTACATCCTACAGAAAGGAGGGCTCCCAGCTCTCTCTGGAGCCCTGGCAAGGGCTCTGCCCTGAGCCTGCCTGAGCACAGGATGTCCCAAAGCCACGGCAGTCATTCATTAAAAGCTCATTAGAAGTTCATCACAGACACAAGGCAAATAGATGAAGGCACTGGTGGATTAGAGCTGCTGTGAAGTGAAGGGAAGGTCCCACACTGCTGGCACAGACCAGGACAGCGAGAAGGGACTGACAGGGGTGACGGGTAACAGCCCTACATGCCAGCAGGCTCTGCCCCACTGCAGGGAGGTCCCTGCCCACCTCCCCTCCACATCCACACCATCACTGTGCCACTGCTCCCTCTGCTTGAGAGATCCCAGCCCCTCTCTGGAGACAGCCACCAGCCACGCAGAGGTTCGCAGTGCCTTGCTCCACCTCTAAGAGACAGACATGGTTTAAACCAACCACAGGTGTACTGGATCCTGATATGGCTGACAGGGAGCAGCCTTGCCAGGGCACAGGGGTCCCAGGAGTGCGTGTGGGGTGTCGAGGAGGATGTCCCGGCTCCCTGGGGATGCCTGGCCCAGCCGTTTCTGCACCCTTGTCACCTGCCTGCCACCTTGTTCTACATCTCCTGCTTCCTCCTCCTCCTCTTCCTTGTCCAGCAGCTCCCAGAGGGGTTACTGGAACCCTCGCCTGCTCTCAACTCCCAAAGAAGCCAGAGATTACAGTGAAAACCTTTACTCTGCAGCACCCCAGCACCCTCACTGCTGCTGCTGCCTCTGCCCTCAGCTGCCACATCCCTGCCTGCCACATCGCTGGGTGAGGAGGGGACCATGACCAGCACGCGGCAGCTGTGGCAGCCAGGAGGCGAGCAGAAATGCAGAGAAAGCACATGAAAGTTTAATGGGATCTAGGGAAAACCGCCACCTCACTGGAACTTTCCTTGCCCGCTGCAGGGAGGGATGGGATAGGGACCTGGAGATATTTTGACCTCCAGCCAGATCTGCCAGTGCTGTGCGGAGTGGGACAGCGGCTGGGCCAGTGCCTGGGGATGTCCCGCTGCCCTTCAGGTGCCTCGGGACCCTCGGTGCTCACCACAAAACAGCGCCCAGTCGCAGCATCCCGAGGTGCACAAGCAGGGAAGCGGGGGCTCCCATCCCACCACCACCCAGCACGAGCAAACTGGTCCCAGGCACCTTCTGGCAGCCGGCCATGCTCGAGCTCACTGCGGGACTCACGGCAGCTCCCGTGGGGCACGGTTTATACCTGTGGCTGGGCAGGACAGGCGGGAGCCATCACCGCAGCAATGAGAGCGCTGGCGCCTGCCAGAAGCCCTTGTGCTTGGCACAGTATTTACACAAGGCGGCAATCAGGCTCCCCAGATGGAATGAGCATTATCGTGCAGGCAGCAGAGCCGGGGTGCAGCAGATACTGCTGAGCACTGTGGGCTGAGCGGGCAGCACCAGCAGGTAACACGCTGCACCACACCGGGCAGGGCACCAAGCACCAGTGCTGCTGGGGCCAGAGCCATGGCCACTGCGGAGTGGAGGTGATGCAAGGAATGAGCAACTGCAGACCTGGGAACCCGAAACGCCACATTCCCAGAGCCCCTTCCCTGGGATCAGACCTGCTGCCTGATGAGGGGTTCCCAAGGAAAACACCCCCACTGCGGGCTGCAGCGGGGCTTTGGCAGCTGCCCGGGGGCACCAGTGCATGGGGCAGGATGGGATGGTCAAGCCCAGGGCTGTTAGTGCATCCCTGAGCACGGGCACAGGGGGCACTGCTGGTGCAGGGCACAGGGCAGCCAGGCAGGGATCACACCAGGAACAGCATACAGGTGGGCAGAGAGGAGCACCAGTACTCTGCAAGTAGACACTCAATCCTCATTATAAGGCTTTTTAAATGCACAGACAGGATATTAGCGTTTAACCAGGCTCTAGGACTCCAGGGCAAACTTTAAAAATCATAATATTTATAGAACCCTCCTTCCACTCACCCCACATGCTCTTTATTTCCTCTGCAATTACTGCTAATTTGAAGACATTTTGCTTTGGCATCTCAGCCTGTTGCGGTGCCGATTCCCGAATCACCCGCTGCTGCCTGCCACCGCAGTGCTCCCACGGGGCCGTGCTCCTGCCACACAGGGAACCAAACCCCTGTTCCCATGATGGAGAGGCACCTACAACGCCAAGAAACCACCACGCAGGGAGCAAAGCCCTCTCCCAGCCTTGCTGGGACCCGCCGCACCGAGACCCAGCCCATGCACCGCATGGGACGGGGAGGGAGAGCCTCGAGCATCCTGCACTGCCCAAACAAGCAAACACCCTGCAGGAGCTCCCATGGGCACAGGCACCTGGCGGTGCTGCCTGCACCCAGCACTGTCCGGAGCTCAGCAAAGCCACACGGCACCTAAGGAATCTCAAGTGGAAACTCCGGAGCAGCTGCCTCCAGAGCCATTGGCAGCTCATGAAGTTTCTGGGCAGAATTAAGGCCCCAGCAGAAGGTTCCTGCACTGAGACCTCTCATGACAAAGCACCTTATGCCTGGAAGCTGGGTCCCTGAGAAACAATGAATTCACGTTATCCTCCTCCTCCCTGTAAGCTCCTTTCCCCACATCCCCCTTCAGCCGCTCTGCTCCCTGCTCCGGAATCCAGCTCTCTGAAGTGTGTATCCCCCCGCAGGCTGCCACAGCCCCCCAACACCTCAGCCAGCTCCAGGGGAGTGGGAGCAGGAGGGAGGTGGTGAAAGGAGCTCGTGCACTGGCTTAAACCCCAGTTCATGGGCCAGGATGGCACAGGGAGGCCCCCAGGACGGTGCAGAGCCTGATGCTGAGCCCAGCTCCTGCACCTTTGGGTGCAGACCTGCAGGAAACTGCTGTCCTAAATCACCTTCCCCTCTGCTCCCTGTCCCAGCCATGCCAGGAGAGCAGCTCGCACCCACATCCAGCATCCCATTCCTGACCAAAGTGCCTGGACAGACCCCATCACATCCTCCTCTTCCCCATCCCTGCTCAAAGCCCTTGGGATGGCTGGGGGGATCTCAGCATCCCCCTGGATGGCTTAACAGACCCACTAGCATAGGTCCTGAGCCCTGGAGAGCCCAGCCCTCCATGCCCCCAGCTTGGTGGGGAACAACCAGACAGAACCATGCAGGCTCCAAACCACCTGGACAGGAACCCACCAGAGCACAGCGCTCACTAACCCGGCACAGCTGAGAGGGGATGGGGCTGGGGGTGTTCCTGGGTAGCCCCAACCACCCCATGCAGGAGACGGGGCTGCTGCCCGCAGCCAGCACCGTGCAGAGGGAAGGCAGGATGGTGATCGGGGTGCCCTCAGGCAGTGCCCAGGCAGGGACCGCTGCCTGCCTCTGCCTCCCTTCCCAGCACCAGGCCTGCCTCCAGCATCACATCACATCCCCTGCCTGCAAGCCACGAGGAAAGCTCTTCCAGCCTGGCATCAGCCAGGAAGCAACAACAGCAAGAAACAGCCCTGACCCTGAGCAAAACCCGGCAGAAAGGGAGGGGAAATGCCCACCCTTCATGCTGGTACCTACCCAAAAGTACATCATCATGTTGGCAGCTGGGTGCTGAGGAGGGCCGTGGGACCGGTGGGAGGGTGAAGGGCTGCTCCCTGATGCCAGCTGCGCGGAGCCCCGCTGCTCCTCGGTGGGCTCTGTCCCCTCGGGTGCTCAGTGTCCAGCTCCAGTGCCAAGGGCCAGCATGGATGAGCACCCTGTCTTCTCGCCTCACTTTCTGGCACAGTGCGGTTGCTCGCTGCGGGCTGCTGTGAGCTTCAGAGCCAGCTGCCAGCATCCGGCATGGTGCTGTGGGGTGGGCTGCAGAGCAGGGATCAGAGATGGACACAGGGCAGCCCTGGGGGTGCGGGGGGTTTATCCACCCCCGGAAATAAACTGGGAGAGGGATGGAGAGAAACGAAACCCTCTCTGTTCTCTCAGAGCCCAGCGCAGGGTGAGCGTGCGGGGGGAGGCCAAGGTGAGCACCCGGAGGCCAGGGCTGGGGCGAGCGCAGCAGCGTGTGGGCTCCGGCGCAGCAGCGTGGGCTCCGCTGGCGCTCGGAGCAGCCGATGTCCTGCCGCAGCATTTCTCAAGCGCCCTGTCGGTAAGGGAGTCCGTCCTCGCTCTCGTGGTTAACCTGCGAGGTGCCCGCCGGCACCCCCGGTTCGCACAGCCACATGCTCTCCATCCCCGCTCCCCGCAGGCAGGGGTGCGGGGCCGGGGTCCGGCACACCCGGCTGGGTTGGGCTATCCTGGGGCATCACCCACTTTGCTGGATGCAGCCAAGCTGCGGCCGAAGCTATCCCCATGTGCAGAGCAATGGGGATGGCCCCTGCACAAGCAGCTACCTGGGATGTGACCACCGTGGTGTGCATGGGAGCAACATCCGGGAGCCCCACCGACACTGGGGCACTGGCCCCGGGCATCACGCCCCGACCTTGCACCCGGGTCCCAGCTTGGGCATGGCCCCTCGGCTCGCTGCTGCGCAGGCACTAAATCTCTGTCCCCCTGGGGCCCCACTCGGTGGAGGAGTAACGGGACCGCGAGCACTCGACTGAGAGTGAGGGAATAAATAAGAATAAGGGGAGGCACAGGAGCGAGAGGGGCGGCAGATTGGTCTCTGGGGCCCCGCTGGCTCTGACACCTCCACCCCATAATCATATTCAAAGCAGAGCCGCGCTGAGGCATTTCTCCTCCAGCACAGCAATAAAAGAAAGCAACACTCTCAATAATTCAGCACCAGGAGAGGGTGATAAAGCAGAGGAGCCACCACTGCAGGCAGCTGGGATGGGGGCTTCCCACTCCCTCCTGTATCTTGGCGATCAAAATCCTCTCCTCCTCCTCTGTGACCTGCAAAACCAGCCCCAGCCGTGCCCTGGAGCCCCACAGCTTGCTGGAGGCCCATATCACTGCATGGGACATGCTCCCAGTATGTGTCAGATGCAGAGACCTGGGGCAGAGCAGCCCAGTGCAGCAGAACAAACCCCCTCCATCACCACTCGAGCCACAGCCGAGGGTCACTGGGCAGGGAGGCAGCTCAGCTCCTTGGCACAGGTCCCTTTCCAGCACTGTTTCACCTTCTCCCACTTCAGCATCCACAGCTCCACATCCACAGCCACCAAGGCACCTCTGCAAACAGTGCCTGTCACCTGCAGCCACGTCCCAACTCTCCCATCCAAACCAGCACCGGGGCTGCTCAGCTGCAGGACACAGACCCCACCGCAGGACACGTCATCTCTCCAGACACAGTCACGGCCTCCAGGCACCCGCAGCCCAGCCCGCAGCATCCCCAGGGACCGACCCGAGTGCCGCCAGCCCCACTGCTGCCGACCAGCACATTTCCCCCCCAGGCTCAGACCCGCAGCCCAGCTTCATCCCGATAATCTTGGCTCCTGCTGCCACCCCCTGCTCCCACTGCTGCACAGGCACCTCTGGGCCAGTGTCTCCCATCAGCATCTTCATCCCCAGCCCCTTGCCTTATCTTTGCTCCTCTGCTTTACCCTCTGAGGCCATGGGGGAGCATGGGTTTGTGCTCTACTCAGTAGGATGGACCTTTGGAGGGACCTCGTCCCCCCACCCTGAGGTGGGACTAGAGTCTACTGCCGTGAAGCAAAGCAATGTGAGGTTCTGATGGGAAGAAGCCATCCCCATCTGCCCAGCGGGCACTGGGCTGGCTCTCTGTGTACGTGCACAGGCCATCGCCTGCCTGATCTGGGTCTCAGCCTGGGTAACACCATGAACTCGTGTGACACAGCAGGGGCTGCAGGACCCTGGGGCAAGCATCACTCACAGCAGACAACTGCCAGGTCAGGGCAGGACCTGGGCTGGTGCCAGTGGTAGGGGCAGAGTCCCCTCCCCAGGAGCTGCACGGAGCACAGACAGACAGAGAGCAGCGTCAGCACACACGGACAGCTCACAGACACTGCAGCCCTCGCGCCACTCACATCACGCCTGCACGGGGGCTCAGCGCCTGCTGGGTGCCGGATGCTGGTGGAGGGGAGCATCCGCCACCTCCAGCACAGGCTCTGCCCCATGCCCCCTGGCCCCGCAGCAGCAGCACCCAGCCCCTCACATGCAGGTGTCAGCATGCAGCTCTCAGTGTGGCCCCAGAGGGATGCCAGGCCCCGAGCGCAGTGGCTTGGGCTGTGCAGCCACTGCCCAAGCCCCAGAGCAGCCCTCGGCTCTGCAGCAGCACCGAGCGCCTCGTACCTTTTGTTCAGCCCAGCTCCTCCTGCGGTGCTCACGCTGGGCTCTCTAAGGAGAGACAAGAAAGAGGAGGAAGGATTAAAATCAATGATCATCATCACTAACCTGCTTACAGTCAATGCTGTTTGCTCATTGACTGGCAAAACGTTCGGATACAAGTAGGAACGTGAGGATGAGCTCCCAGCGTGCTGGGAAACCTGCTCCGGCTAAGAGCTGTGGGGTGGCTGAGCCCTGACATGGATCAGCAGCAGCTTCTCCAGCTCTGACAGCAGACCCCGATCCTGACCCAGCTCTTATGGACCACAGGCCCCTTCCTCAGCTTCCCTGAGCGTCTGCAAGCACCAGCCCAGCCCAGCCCCATGCAGAGGACATGGGGTTGGATTGGACGCAGCCCTTGGCAAAGGAATGGACACAGAGAGTTCAGCGTGCCCAAACCCTCTGTACACACCAAAGATGCTGCGGTGGTCCTGCCCCTGGCAGTGCCGTCCCTGCCTCGCTCCCGGTGCGGTCCCACCAGGAGCAAGCCCTGCAGCTCCCGGCACTGCTGCCCCGGCTCCGGGCCCTTCCTGGAGAACATCGCCAAATTTCAAAGAAAACTTCCTGAAAGCTGCACTTCAACTAATTGGCTTCTGCAGCATTGCCAACACAAATGTTCATAAATCATGTCAGACCCTCAGAAATAATGAGAACAGCTTATACATCACGAGAGTGCTTTAAAAAGAGAAAGCCAGGGCTGTTTCTGTTTGTTAATCGCTTCTTTGGGGATCAGGAGGTGTCGAGCCCTGCAGCAGCAGCGGCTCTGCCATCCAGTGTGAAGCTGCTGTGCTCCTCTAGAGCATCATCCCCGGAAAGCAGCACCCTAAGATGCGGCAGCTCTGGGTGTCAGTACCCTGTGCCCAGGGCTGGGGGAGCAGACGCTGCCCCAAGCCCATGTCCAGATCCCTGTGAGCATTTGGATGTCCAGAGGCCCAGCCCCGCACGGTGGTGGCTCTGGAGTAGCGGAGCCAGTTCCCAGGCACCTCTGTTAGCAAACACGGCTCTCAGCCGCGCAGCAGGATAATCAATTATGGTAATTCCTGCCTCAATGAAGCAGATTCATGGAGGAGCGCAGCTCATTAGGCTGGTGCTGACTTCCATTAGTGCTCTTATGATAAAAACCCTCCAGAAAGCTCTCGCCCAGCCAGACTCGGCGTTTTCCAGCCTCCGGAGCCGCCCTTCCCAGCCCTCCGCCAGGGCGGACTTGGCTGTGGGACATGGGAGCCCTAGAAAGTTGGTTGGGAGCTGCCTGCCCCCAGAACGGAGGGGACGCGGTGCAGGCCAGCGGCGCTCCTGCCTCCAGCCCCCGCTCCCGAGCTTGTCCTCACCGAGAAGGCGCTCGCAGGAGCCCCGGCTGGGGAAGCGGGAGACGGCGCAGGGGGAGCAGAGCCCCAGCCTGTGCTGCGGCGGGTTTGGGTGCGCTGGGAGCCCAGGCAGCCGCTTTGGCCATTAATAATTGAAGGGCCCTGGCTCTCCTCGGGGGGGAGCCGTGATGGGTAAAGTCTCATTTCCCAAACGCGCTTCCCAAGGAAGGCGCCTTCTGAGAACCTCCACAGAGCACCGCAGGGCCCCAGCAACCGGAATGCACCGTGGGAGCTCCCGCAGCCCGGCACCAGGACAAATCTCTGGTGGTCCCAGGCACCGCAAGGACCGGAATGCTCCAAACCGCCCTGTCCTGCACCTGCATCAAGCAGGAGAGGAAAAACCCTGGCAGAGCACCGATGGGGGCGGGCTAGGAACAGCTCCAGACAGTTGGGATCAGCATTCCTGGTGGGTCTTGCCCCTGCTCCTGCTTTTCTGGCCGAGCTCCAGGTTCGTTGGCTCTAACTGGAGCCCTGAGCAGCCTTGCAGGGACCCACATCCTGAACAGGCGAGCCTAACGCAGGCAGCTCACCAGCAAAACCTGACCCAGCCAAAACCACCCGGATCCAGAGCCCTGGTGCTGCACGCCAACAACCCCCATCCCCCCCTCACAATCATGGGGCAAACCCCATGGTGGCCCGGGCTCACCAGCCTGATCTGCTGGGAAACTTCTCCATAGTTTGCCAAAGCACATTTTGCCCCCCCTTCCTCCCACCAAAACCCCTAAATTAATTTTGCTTTTAATTAAATTCATTAGCAAAGATTATCTGGCTGAGGAAAAATAATATCCTGCCCCTCCCCCGGCAGCCCTCTCTATTTATATCCCTATATACATAAGCAGCAGTGAATATTTCTTTATGGGCCATTAAGGGCTTAGTGTTTAATTTATAAGCATGCTCTGTGGCGGGCGGGATGGCCGGGCAAAGTCAACACTTTTAATTAAACGAGAAGGAGTTTTGTCACTAGGATGACCAAGCGCCCGCTCCGGCAGCTCTGGGGTACGTGGCAGGTCCCCACTGGGAGCCCCCGTGCCGCTCTCGAGGTTTTTCACCACCGCTGGTCGCGGTGATGCTGAGCAACTTGCGGCTCCCCCCACCCAGGGAGACCCATCTGCCTTGGCAAGGGACAAGTGGAGCCCATCAGCGCACAGGGAGCAGTGATGCCCCTGCAGCATCCCGGTCCTAACTCCGGTCACCAGCACACCACCAGCCTGAGCAGTTGCTGTAAGCCTTTCAACCAAAATCCTTGCTGCAACTTCTGACAATTCCCAGCACTTCCACACTTCCTCCTGCCTGAAACCTGTGGCTCTCACAGCATCACCACCTCCTCTCTCCCAGTGTGCTGCACTCACAAGGACAAAGTGCTTCAGACACACACTCCTCTAGGAATCATGGAATTCCATCCTGGTTTGGGTTGAAGGGACCTTAAAGCTCCTCCAGCTCCAACCCCTGCCACGGGCAGGGACCCCTTCCACTGGAGCAGCTTGCTCCAAGCCCTGTGTCCAACCTGGCCTTGAGCACTGCCAGGGATGGGGCAGCCACAGCTTCTCTGGGCACCCTGTGCCAGCGCCTCAGCACCCTCACAGGGAAGAGCTTCTGCCTAAGAGCTCAGCTCAGTCTCCCCATTGCCAGCTTAAACCCACCGGCAGAGCCAGTGGCACCCGCTTGCCTGCCAGGCACCACCCAGGAGTCTGGCATTCCCAGCTCATCCCACTGGCATCCCTCCCACAGCCCCTTGTCCCATCCTGCAGCAGACACGGGGTCATGGGAGAGAAGGAGCAGTGTGTCCGTGCAGAGCTGGGCATGTCCCGGTGCCCACAGCCGCACTCGGTGCTGTCCCAGCAGCAGCAGCCTCAGCTCTTGGCAGCAGGAGAGCGCAGCCCTTCCTGCTTGGAACACGGCGCGGGGCAGCTCTGAGTAGGCAGGTTCCCATTAATGGGGTATTTTATCTTACAGGAGAGATTAAATCTCTGTACAGAGAGGCACAAAAGAGCTGAATCAGCAGCTGGCCAGGGGATGGCAGGTTTAGCCATAAGCATTTGGCATCAGCACAGCATGTCAGAGCTTCACCCTCCCACAGCCGTGCTCCACCAGACAGAGTCCAGCATCCAGCCCCGAGCACCCCACACACACACCTCTCCCTGTCCTGGAGGAGCCGCAGGCAGCCTGGGTTATGATGGGACCAGCCCCAGTGCCATTGTACAGCCCAGCAGCCCCATGCTAGTCCTCTGCCATGCACCCAGCGAGCCGAGCACCCGTGGCACCAGTGGGCTGCCTCCCTCCCATCTCCATCATCTCAGCACAGCAGGGATGGGTTTGCAGGAGGTGCCCCAGCGTGGCCACGGTGCCCACAGCAGCGTGCGAGGGACTGTGTCCGGACCTCATCCCAGGCACAGCCCTCAGCAGGTAACACAGTCCCCAGTGCCTGCACCGTGATGGGTGCCCCTTGCACAGCTGTGTCTGAGCTCCCCCAGGCACCATTCCCCACATCCAGCATGGGTCTGTGCTGGCCACACACAAGGATCAGGCGTGCGAGGGCTGGCCGCCGCCGTGAGCCAGCAGCAGAGTGGTGATGGCACTGTGCCGCTCACTAAAAGCATGAGTGTCACTAAATCAATAATTCATTTACTTTAATGAGATAAGTACTTTGAAAACTAATTGCAAACCTGCTCCATTTACTCCGACCCGTTATAGCCTTTAATGTAAATGGCAGAAATGCTGCTGGAGGAAGAGGAAGGGCTTTTGATGGGGGATAGTGTGTCATCTTTCCCCTTCTTCTAAGAAAGGGAAATATCAGCCATAAACAAGGACAGAAACCAAAGTAACTGGCCAAATCACAGCATGGAATGCTGACGGTGGAGCAAGGGGAACACACAGCCCCGCTCCTGGGGCCACCACTGTCTCCTGCACATGCTGACACCGTGGAAGGGTGCACCAAGAAACACCCCAAAGGACTGTCACTGGCACCAGGGAGACAACAAAGGAGCAGAAATACACCCAGCACATGGGAATGCTGAGCCCCAGACAGCTGCCGAGGGCAGCAGGCAAAGAGAGACACCACATCTGGGGCCCTGTCCTGTCCTGGCAGCTGCAGGACTCAGCTCTACCCTAGGCAAGACCCTGGTGCTGCGTGTCCTGGCAGCAGGGCAGCAGCAGGGATGGAGCAGCAGACGGGATGGGGCACCACCATTCCCAGTGCAGCAGACCCCCTGGCTGGACCATGGGCTGGCTGCTGCTCACACTGCAGGTGGTCACCCAGCTCATTATAAACCCACCACCACAGTGCTGGCACAGCATCCTCCAACAGCTCCGGCACCAGCAGCCAGTGTGGGCAGCACAGGCAGGGGCAGGCAGCGGGCATCAGGGGGGCAGGGGTGTCCTGCCAGCTCCCAGCACCATTCCTGGAAAGGAGCAGGCGGCTCCCGGCAGCGATGTCGAAGCGTTCCTGAAGGGCAGCGGGAGCTGGACGCCAAGGGCTCGCTCATCGCTCGCTGGAGCAAACGGCAAGTCATAAACCAGAGTCGTGACAGAAGAGAAAATGTTCCAGAGTCCACAAGGACCAGGCCAGGGTAAATCCATCTGCTCAGCAATTTAGCTACAAAACCCTTCCCAATCATCTGTGCGGGAGGTCCTTCACCCCCAGCGCGGCTC